AGGCATTGGTCAAACTAATTTCACACCTCTGGCTTCTGGCTACCCAGGAAAGTTTCTGTAGTGGCTCGCTACTCTAGCACTCTCACGGGCAGTCGTGAGATTTCACACCCACACCACCCTGACCATCTGCATCGTTCAGGGTTCACATGATGGGGTAACATCGGTAACATCTACCCCTATACGTTCTTATACTAACGTCAAGATCTACCCCCAAATTGCACTGTGTTCTGAAAAGTGCCATGATGAACGTTTGATTATAAAACGATCAGAAATTATTGTGCTAATTTTGTCCAGTATGTGTGTGTGTGTGTGTGGGGGGGGGGGGGGGGGGGTGTTTGTGTTGAGTATATTGTATTTTTCTGATTCTACGCTTGATCTGTATAGGACAGTTCTTATAACGAGTATATTTATACAGAATGAGCGTATGTCTAAATATTGTGTGGGTGTGTAGAAAGTTAGAGTCTTTGGGGTAAGTACAAGGGACCAGAACTTCTCACTTTCTTGTTAGATTTCTGATATATTATTATGGTAATGTTTCTTTTTCCCGTGCCGATCATACAAAATATTTGTAACCGGGGCAGATCGCTACTCACAAGGGTCACAAGCTTTACATGCACGTTTGTGGGTTAAGAGTGTTTGAATGCGTTTACGACCATAAAGATGTTATGTTTGACAATGTCTCGACTTTTTACTGAACACTATGCTCGTGTTTTGTGAAGAAAAGGGATAAAAATGCCGAACAATAGCAGCCAACACCAAACTTGGATTACCAATAGTAGGCCTATTGCCAAAATTTCGAAAGGACTCTTTTGAAGTTTACCTGTATAGCCAGACAGACAAATATGTGTTCCAGTAATTTTTAGAAACAGCCTCTTACAACGTAACTTCTAAATGTGACTACTAAAACTATAACTCAATCAGGCACGCAACTGGATACAAAATTAGGGTTTTGTTTATGTAAGAGTTTTTCTCGACTTGCAACACAATTAGGTCCTATAAGTGCCGAAGATTAGATGTGTTACGTGGGAGTAACAAACAATAGAATAAAGTGAGGAGAGATACGGACGATAGAAGCTTGAAAGGAAAGAAAGAGCAAATTACTCCAGAGCACCCCCCAAACACAAACAGAAATTATGACCTTTTAACCAAAACATCACCACGTTGAAAATTCTACTATAGCTACCTGACGTAAACAATCAGCTGTAGGTCGTGTATCGTCGCCTCCTAGGGTCATAGGTCAGTGGGTGAGGGGAGGGGGAGACGTACGCCTCAGGGGCGTGAGAATGTCCGTGACCAACTATTGACGCGTAATCAGCTGACGACAGGTAGTAAAATTTTAATTTTCTTTGTGTTTCGAGGTGTGCAGCGAAGTTGCGTCCTTTCAAAAAGAGGGCTCAAGCCAACAGTTTTCGGATTTTTTAATTTCTCATTCTCGATTTGAATGTCAACGTGAGCAGACATGAACACACCTGGTCACCGCTCGGGGCGTAAGCAAGGACCTCAGAAATTTGCCATTATTTACCCTCCTTGACTTTGACGTAGGTCAGGGGGTTTCAACATCAGCGAAGGCCGTTTTATCGATTCCCGCCCAATATTTGTTAGCTTAAAGTGTCCTTTGTGATTGAAAATAAAAACACCTGTGGGGGAGGGGGCAGGGGGTTCCCCTAATCCTGGGGAGGAGCGCCGCTTCGCATGTGAGCTTATGTTTTCTAATAATAATACATGCACCCAGTGCACACTCCCGATCTAATTCATTAAGTTTTGGTGTAGTCCGGACCAACTGAGTCGTTGGGGGTTCTTTCATGGCAAGGGGGAATGGGGATTTATCGTTCAATACCTATTTGAAATGAATATACCGCGAGATTGAATAACGCTTTCTTCCTCACTCAGGGGCAAATATCTACCTTCTATCGATCGCCATAATCAGCTGACTATCACGTTTATAAACTATGGGGCTAAGAGTAAAATATCATGTTTTGCAATGTCTCAACTTTTAACTGACACACTACGAGTTTGTTTTGTAAAGATTGAAAGAAAAAAACCCCATGTCGAACAGTGACAAGCAACACCAGACTTGGTTTACATCAATTGTACTGCCAAACTTTAGGAAGGACTCTAAATAGACTCTATTGTGGATGTTACCTGTAGTCAGACAACGATGTGTACTACTAGTCTAGTAATTTAAAAAACGGTTTCTTACAACATAATGTCCAAATATGACTACTAAAACCCAATCATGCTCATAATCAGTTCAAATACGATAAATGTGATACAAGAGAGTAATAAACATTTTTTTAAAGTGAGGAGAGATAAGGATGATAAACGTTTGATAGTAAAAGAAAGAGAAAACCAACCACATCAGACAGAACACCCGCCAACAACCTACAGAAATTATGACATTTCAACCAAAACATGACCACGTTGCAAGTCTACTACTAGCTCTCTGACGTAACAATCGGCTGTTGGTCATGTGTCGTCGCCTCCTGGGGTCATCGGTCAGTGGGTGAGGGGCGGGGGGAGACGTACGACTCGGAGGCGTGGGAATGTCCATGACCAACTATTGACTTGCAATCAGCTGACGACAGGTAGTCTAGTAAAATTTTAGTTTTCTTTGTGTTTTGTGGTGCGCAGCAAAAGTTGCATACCTTCAAAAAGAGGCTCGACCCAGTAGTTTTCGATTTTCTTTTTCTCATTCTGGATTTTATTATCAGCGTGGGTAGACGTATTACGATACTATTCTGAGAGTTATTCTTTATTGAGCTGTGTGTTCTGAGTTGAGATTTCTGACAATTTCTACGATCGTGACGTTGAGACGGTATGTGGTCACTTAATATATACAATTGTATCTCTTTGCAGTTTTTATTCTTTGTTTAGTCTTTTTTTTTTAAAATAATTTTATCGGCCGCATCTTCGTGGTAGATATTACATTTCTGAATCGTATCTCTTTTTTTCACTATGCAACTATAGGAGTTTCCGTCTCTGAATATGTAAATACATGTGCCTTAATCAAATGTTTTGAAAATATCATAAAAAGATACAATGATTTAAAATCAAACAAACAAATCCACCAACTTCAAATTACATAAATTCACAGCGGGTTATACTGATTTCTCTCTCTCTCTCTCTCTCTCTCTCTCTCTCTCTCTCTCTCTCTCTCTCTCCCTCTCCGCCCCTCTCTCTCTCCTTCTCTCTCAATCTCTCTCTCTGAGTTGTTCTTTGCATTTATGATTGATCTAATGGTCTCTCTCCTCAATTTACTGTATTTTTAGGAAACAATTATTTTCATAAAATAATCTGAGATCTCCTCATTTTTAAAAATTTTGAATTATTCAATTAGAACATAAATGTGTTTGTTGTGAACATCGGGTGTAAATTAGTCGAAATGCTACTTTTATTAACTTTAATACTCGGAATTGACAAGAAAACGAGTTTTTGCTAAGGTCTACAAGAGCACGTGTGTCTTGTGCCCTGAGATCTGTCAAGACATTACCAAGCAAAACCTTTGAAGTTCTCTTGTCAATACCGAATAAAATAATAAAAAGGGTAGAAGCAGCGCGTTCTGCTCAGTTTTCACTCGATGTTCTTTAAGGACACCATACATTTAATTTTTATGTTCCACAGCAAAACTTTTGCAGTTTTCTTATCAATAAACACATAAAATAACACCGCAATCATAACCAAAAGTCGGTGGCTTGCATCTCTGACGTAACAATCAGCTGGACCGGCGGTGGCCATTTGTGATAACACCTGGTCACCGCCCCAGGCGTAGGCCAGGACCTCAGAAATTTTCCATTGTTTAATCTCCTTGCTTGGACGTAGTTGAGGAGGTTTTAATTCAACATCAGAAGGTCCATTTTATTTATTCCCCCCCCCCCCCCCAATATTTGTCAGCTTTAAAAGTGTCCTTTGCGATTGTAAATAAAACACCGGTAGGGGCAGGGGGTTCCTCTAATCCTGGGGATGGGAGCGCTGCTTCACATGATGGCTTATGTTTTCTAATAATAATAATAATAATAATACATGTACCCAGTGCATACTCCCGATTGAATTAATTAAATTTGGATTCAGCCCTGAACAAGTAGTTGGGGTTTTTTTCATGACCGGTGGAGGGGGGGGGGGGTTATTTTTAAATTCCTATTTGAAATGAATGTACCGCGAGGTTGAATAACGCTTTCTATCTTACTGAGGGGAAAGTATCCACCATCTATTGATCTCCATAATCAAATGACTATCAAGTTCATAAACTATGGGGCTTAGATATCATTTTTGGCAATGTCTCAACTTTTGACTGACATACTACGCTTGTGTTTTGTAGAAAAAGAAAGAAAAACAAAATATGTCGAACAGTGACAAGCAACACCAGATTTGGCTTACATCAAAAGTACTGCCAAACTTTAGGAAGGACTCTATTGTGGATGTTACCTGTAGTCAGACAACGATGTGTACTAGTAATTTTTAGAAACGGTTTCTAACAACATAATGTCCAAATATGACTACTAAAACCCAATCATGCACACAATCAGTTCAAATAAGAGCCGAAGATTAATTAGATTGACACAGGAAGAGAGTAATAAACATTTTTTTTAAAAGTAAGGAGACATAAGGACGATACACATTTAGTTAAAGAAAGATAAACCCAACCACATCAGAGCACCCGCCAACAACCTACAGAAATTATGGCATTTCAACCAAAACATCACCACGCTGCAAGTCTATTACTAGCTCTCTGACGTAATAATCAGCTGTTGGTCATGTGTCGTCGCCTCCTGGGGTCATCGGTCAGTGGGTGAGGGGCGGGGGGAGATGTACGCCTCGGGGGCGTGGGAATGTCCGTGACCAACTATTGGTGCGTAAAACAAGGAGTTTAGAACTACTTTTAATCTCCTTGGTGCGTAATCAGATGACGACAGGTAGTAAAATTTTAGTTTTCTTTGTGTTTCGAGATGTGTAGCAAAGTTGCGTACCTTCAAAGAGAGGCTTGAGCCAGAGGGTTCCAATTTTTTTTTCTCATTCTCCATTTGAATATCAGCGTGTGTAGACGTATTACGATACTATTCTGAAAGTTATTCTTTATTGAGACGTGTGTTCTGTTCTGAGATTTCTGACAAATTTATTCGATAGTGACGTTGAGACGGTAAGTGGTCATTTGATATATATATATATATATATATATATATATATATATATATATATATATATATATATATAAATTTTTATTATTTGTTTGTTGTTGTTTTTTTACTTCTTTACCGGCCACATCATCGTGCTAGATGTTTCTTTTCTGAATTGTATCATCGACGGCCTTTTTTTCTTCAATATGCAACGATAGGAGTTTCCGCCTCTAAATTAGTAAATACATGTACCTTAATCAAATGTTTTTTAAAATATCATGAAACGATACAATGATTCAAAACAAACAAACAAATCCACCAAATTCAAATTATATAAATTCACGGCGGGTTATTTTGATCTCTCTCTCTCTCTCCCTCTCTCTCCCCCCCCCCTCTCTCTCTCTCTCTCTCTCTCTCTCTCTCTCTCAATGAGTTGTACTTTGCATATGATTGATCTAATGGTCTTTGTCCTCAACTTTACTGTATTTTTTAAAAACAATTATTTTCTTTAAATAATCTGTGATCTCCTCTTTTTTAAAAAAATATTAAATTGGAATATACACTGTAAATGTGTTTGTTATTAACATCGCGTGTAAATTAAACAAAATGCTGCTTTTGTTAACTTTAATACTCGGAATTGGCAAGAAACTCTCTCTCTCTCTCTCTCTCTCTCTCTCTCTCTCTCTCTCTCTCTCTCTCTCTCTCTCTCTCTCTCTCTGTGAGTTGCACTTTGCACATGATTGATCTAATGGTCTTTGTCCTCAACTTTACTGTATTTTTTTAAACAATTATTTTCTTTAAACAATCTGTGATCTCATTTTTTGGGTAATCATCCAATTGGAATATACAATGTAAATGTGTTTGTTTTGAACCTCACGAGTAAATTAAACAAAATGCTGCTTTTGTTAACTTTAATACTCGGAATTGACAAGAAACTGTAGTTTTTGTTAAGGTCTATAAGAGCACGTGTGTCCTGTGCCATCAGCTAAAGTTCAAGACATTACCAAGTAAAACCTTTGAAGTTCTCTTGTCAATACCGATTATCAAAATAAATACGGGTACGAGCAGCGCGTTTTGCTTAGTTTTAACGCGATGTTCTTTAAGGACACGCTACGTTTAATTTTATGTTCCCAAGCAAAACATTTGCCGTTTCTTGTCAATAAACACATAAAATAACACCATAATCATAACCAAAATAGGGGTCGTTTATATCAGTGACCGGCTCTCTGACGTAACAATCAGCTGGACCGGCGATAGCCATTTGTGAACACACCTGGTCGCCGCCCAGGGCGTAAGCAAGGACCTCAGAAAATTCCTTTATAATTTCGTTATTTTTGCCTTCTTGGCTTGGACGTAGCTCGGGGGATTTCAATATCAGCGAAGGCCCGTTTTATCGATTCCCGCCCAATATTTGTTGGCTTAAAGTGTCCTTTGTGATTGAAAATAAAACCACCGGCGGGGTATGGGTCAGGGGGTTTCCCTATTCCTGGGGATGGGAGCGTCGCTTCACACGTAGGCTTTTGTTTTCTAATAATAATAATACATGTACCCAGTGCGTACTCCCGATCCAATAAATTAAATTTAGATGTAGTAGTCCGGACCAACTAAGTAGTTGGCGGTTCTTTCATGGCAAGGGGGAATCGGGATTTATTTTTAAAATCCTTTTTGAAATGTATGTACCACATCCACCATCCATCGATCGCCATAATAGGTGACTATCAAGTTCATAAACTATGGGGCTAAGATATCATGTTTAGCAATGTCTCACTTTTTACTGACACAATACGCTTGTATTTTGTAAAGAAAGAAAAACAAAACGTGTCCAACAATGACAAGCAACACCAGACTTGGCTTATATCAATTGTACTGCCAAACTTTAGGAAGGACTCTAAATAGACTCTATTGTGGGTGTTACCTGTAGTCAGACAACGATGTGTACTAGTAATTTCAAAAACGGTTTCTTACAACATAATGTCCAAATATGACTACTAAAACCCAGTCATGCTCTCAATCAGTTCAAATACGATTAATTGTGATACAGGAGAGTATTAAACATTTTTTTTAAAGTGAGGAGACATAAGGACAATAAACGTTTGGTAGATAAAGAAAAAGAAAACCAACCACATCAGAATTCAGATCACCCTCCAACAACCTATAGAAATTACGACATTTCGACCAAAATACGACCACGCTGCAAGTCTACTAGCTCCCTGACGTAACAGTCAGCTGTTGGTCGTGTGTCGTCGCCTCCTGGGGTCATAGGTCAGTGGGTGAGGGGCGGGGGGAGACGTACGCCTCGAGGGCGTGGGAATGTCCGTGACCAACTATTGGCGCGTAATCAGCTGACGACAGGTAGTAAAAATTTAATTTTCTTTATGTTTCGAGGTGTGCAGTGAAGTTGCATACCTTCAAAGAGAGGCTCGAGTCAGTAGTTTTCCATTTTTTTTCTCTCATTCTGGATTTGATTATCAGCGTGTGTAGACGTATTGCGATACTACTCAGAGAGTTATTCTTTATTGAGACGTGTGTTCGGTTCTGAGATTTCTGACAATTTCTACGGTCGTGACGTTGAGTCGTTAAGTGGTCACTTAATATATACGACATGTGTATATTTCTAGTTTTTCTTATTTGTTTGTTGTTGTTGTTTTTTACTTCTTTACCGGCCGCACCATCGTGCTAGATGTTTCCTTTCTGAATTGTATCGTCGACGGCCTTTTTTTTTCAATCTGCAACGACAGGAGTTTCCGCCTCTAAATTAGTAAACACATGTACCTTAAGCAAATGTTTTGAAAATATCATGAATCGATACAATGATTTAAAACAAACAAATCCACTAACTTCAAATTATATAAATTCACCGCCGTTTATTTTGATCCTGATTTCTTTCTCTCTCTCTCTCTCTCTCTCTCTCTCTCTCTCTCTCTCTCTCTCTCTCTGTGTGAGTTGCACTTTGCACATGATTGATCTTATGGTCTTCGTCCTCTGTGATCTCCTCATATTTTTTTTAATCATCCAATTGGAATATACAATGTAAATGTGTTTGATTTGAACCTCACGAGTAAATTAAACAAAATGCTGCTTTTGTTAACTTTAATACTCGGAATTGACAAGAAAACTAGTGTTTGCTAGGCCTATAAGAGCACGCGTGCCTCGTGCCAACAGCTAAAGTTCAAGACATTATCAAGTAAAGCCTTTGAAGTTATCTTGTCAATACCAAATATCAAAATAAATACGGGTACGAGCAGCGCGTTTTGCTTAGTTTTAACGCGATGTTCTTAAAGGACACGCTACATTTAATTTTGTTCCCAAGCAAAACCTTTGCCGTTTTCTTCTCAATAACTCAAAAAATAACACCATAATCATAACCAAAATGGCGGTCGCTTACATCAGTGACCGGCTCTCTGACGTAACAACCAGCTGGACCGGCGGTGGCCTTTTGTGAACACACCTGGTCGCCGCCCAGTCCATAGGCGAGTACCTCATAAAATGTTCATTATAATTTCGTTATTTTAGCTTCCTAAGCTTGGAACTAGTTCAGCGTCCGTTTTTTCAATTCCCGCCCAATATTTGTCAGCTTAAAGTGTCCTTTGTGATTGTAAATAAAACAGCGGTGGGGGAGGGGGCAGGGGGTTCCCCTAATCCTGGGGATTGGAGTGCCGCTTCCCCTAGGCTTATGGGGTATTTTTTAATACCACTCTCAATCGAATTCATTTAATTTTGATGCAGCCGGAGCCTGCCAGTTTAAAAAAAAATTGAAATTTAAAAAGTTTTGTTTGCTTTCCATTCAAGGGGGAGGGGGAATTCCCAATTTAAATGAATGTACCATGATGTTGAATAACGCCACCTTCCTTGTTGAGGGGGAAAATGTCGAGGCGCTAAACTGGCAAATATCCACCAACTATGGATCGGCTTCATCAGCGCGGTTTAATTTTTGTGGCCAGTGGTCCTCCATTGTGTTTCCGATAATACACGAATTGCACAACGGAGTTGCGGCCCTTCGAAGTACTGACAGCAGTTTTTTGTGTAATTGGTTGACAAGACAAGTGTGTGTGTGTGTGGTTGTTTTTTGTTTTTTTTGGAGTTTTTAAAATTTGTTTGTTGTTGTTTTGGTTTTGTTTTGTTTGTTTGTTATCCTTTCTTTTTCGAGCAGCTCAGCAAAATAGCGTACATGTATCTCCAAAGAGAGGCTCGAGCCAATACATTTTTTACTTTCTCTCTCATTACAAATTCTACCTTCAGTCTGGACGGACGCATAATTATTCTGTGTTTAATTCATCTTAAAAACTGGCGTTCTTTCTGGGTTTTTAAGCTGTTGTTATATATTATTAATGGCCCCCCAAAAAATGCTTTTAAAGAATTAAAAAGGCCCGTCTTCAGCAACTGTTTTTGTTTTTTAAATTATAATTGTATCACTCTTTTTTTTTTGGGGGGGGGGGGGGGGTTTGGTTCTTCTTCTCCGTGATATTTTCCCGTATTTGTTGAACTTTACATAATGTATTAGCTTGGGAATTATTTCTTAGGGCAGAGTTCTATTTTTATTAGAAACTTTAGAGAGGACAAAAAGCTTGATAGTGCATGTATCGCGTGCGGTAGTGCACGCTGTGACAGAAATAAAATGGCTGCTTCTGCCCACGAGAAAACTTGGACTCCTCAAAGAAGTCTACAGTTGCACCCCGGGAGCATCGGTCAGAGAGTGGGTGGGGGGGAGGGGGGGGGTACGTCTCGGGAACTTGGGAATGTCCATGACCAACTATTGGCGCGTAATCAGTTGACGGCAGGTATAACATTTTTAGTTTCCTTTGTGTTTTGAACTGTGCAACGCTGTAGTGTACTTTCAAAGAGAGGCTCGAGCCAACAGTTTTCGGATTTGTTTCCCCTCATTCTCGATTAGGAAAGAAAAAGCTGCAGTTCAGGCACAGTTATGAGTATGGCATTGATGAATCAGCTCATTTACAATTCTACTGTGCATAAGAACACGTTAATGTCCCCCCTGTGGGAATGGCCTAAAGACACTTCAGTCAGT